GAGACACGTCTTGGCGTTGATTTTGCGGGAGCTGTTGCTGAAGTCGACGCCGGCTTGCCACGCCAATACCCGCAAAGTTTTTCTTATCGAGACTCTCGAATATAGGCGCTCCGCTCTCGGCCATGGTATAGGTTCTGATCAACGGTGCTGAATTTCGGTGTCGTCACCCAAGCCAACTTAGAAATCGCTCTTAGACTAGATGTCGACAGCCTTTGGAATTTCAGCGTACGCCTCCTTGCAGGTCCAACCCAAAAAACACGACTGCTTATATAAAAGCGCATTGATTACCTCCATACGGCATGTATGCAGCTAGGGACAGAAATATGGAGGGTTGTGAAAAGTGCATGAGGGAAAAATCAACGCGAACATCTTAACGTCGTCGTAGCTCTACACAAGATCCAAAAGCAAGTTGAGTAGGTGTGGCATGAAGCCAGCATAGCATATCCATCAATAATACATGTTAATTTTCGTGTTTCTGGGTGGGTACACCCGTCTCGATGGGACGGCCGTCTCCTGAGTACACCATGTCTAATGGTTGATGCGCAGGAGGCGCTGCAGATGATGCTGCTGAGCGTGCTTCCACCGTTGAAGTACTGGGTGTGGGTGGAGCCGTAGTTGTCGACGTAGCATTTTCCATCTTTGGACGTTTTTCGTCCATAGAGAAAGACGATGTCGATGGCATAGTGCTTGTCGCGAAAGAATTTGTTGTAGACTGTGGCACTTGAACACCACTGGGAGGACCCACATGGTGAGGGAATTCATGGTGTGAAGACACGTCAAGAGATACAGCAGGTTCACTAGGTCGCTTCTCCATAGAAAAGCGACGTGCTTCATTGCTTGAGTGGCTCATGTGTGAAGCAGGCTGTTGTTGTAGCTCATGAGACAGCGTAGCTGGCACAGATGAGGTGCTTGCCGCATGACCATTAGGTGTGGCAGCCGGGTTGGCAGTGTGTTCCAATCGGCGATCCACCATCATACCTGGGGCCGCCGGTGCAGTTGTTGACCTAACAGTCGGCGGGGGCATCGCAGCATGCGCCGAGTACGGAGTATTAGGTGAGTGGAACATGCCGGGTGTAGTTGGGGCCGGCGTCGTGGAAGCGACAGAGGCAGCTGTCGAATGTGGCGTCTGTTGGCATGCCGTATGGGTTGCAGGCAGGACCGAAGCTGGATGGTGATAGTGCGAATGGTGCTGCGGGTACGAATATGAAAGGGAGGTATCCGCTGAGTTGCTTGTCGCTGATGTGTCATGCGCAGTCGCCTGCCCTGGACTGCCCCAGTGACTGTGAGGGAAACTCGATTGCAGCGGCAGACTCGTAGCACTGATGTCACTGCTGCTGACGTCCTTGACTGGGGTATTTACCCCATTCGCAGGCATGCCACCGTAATGACGGTGCACCTGGCGCTCTTGTGCAGCGGCCATCACGGCAGCTGTACGCGGATAGTTGTCTGGGTGGTACAAGAACGACTGGATGTTCGGCTCAAAAAGTGGATAGAGAATATCAATGATACCGTGTTGCTCAGCCAGTTGCTTGGCACGATTAAATGCGATCCACACACCCTTCAAATGCATAGCACCTACCTTGACGACAATGCGTTCCTTTTCATTTTTCAAGATACCATCACGTTTGCCGCGTGACATACCACAAACATTCAACAACTTGGTACCATTTACCATATTGTTGTCATGGCGACGGGCCACACACACGCCCTTCACGTCAACCTGGAAGCACAGTGTACCCTCGTCTTCCCACAAGGTCGTAGTGACACGATGACGACCCATCCATGGCACAGGTGCGGTATACTGCGGCGCTGAGCCATAAGACGAGGCCGCCATCATGGCACCAGATGTCATACCACCCGGTGCGGCAGGAGAAGTCGCACTAGCCGAGGAAGTTGTCATGGACAGAGGCATAGCTGCAGCGGATGGAGTATGGTGCGATGGTATGTGAGCAGGAGTGTGTGGGTTGTAGCCAGCATGGGGCATCATGCTGCTCATAAAGGGTGCATGATAAGCGGGACCGGAGGTAGCAGCGGCAGGGTAATGTGGTGGGTGGGTTCCATAATGAGAAATATGCCCGAAGTAGTTTGGATACGGCGCATAGGCGTGTCCCGGGTACGATGCACCGTACATGGGATGCTGTGCCGCAGCGTACGTTGCAGCATACGGTGATGTCATTGGCGACAATTGCGTGCTTGGAAACGAGCTCGCCATGTGGTGCGAGCTCTGGTTGACACTGTCCGGTTGCTGTTGATACAGCCCAGCACTCGACGCATGGCCACCGACATGCGGATCAGAGCAAGCCAGCGTGGTAGATGCATGTCCATGCAGAGCAGGTGCACCAGAATGGCTGGCCGTGGGGGCCTGAGGCTGCGGTGGCGGCGGCGCTGGTTGCTGTGGTGCGGCGTGCATGGATGAGATTCCACCATAAGGCGAGGCAGCCGCGGAGGCGGCAGCGGCCGTTGCAGCCGTGGTGGTAGAGACAGATGGGCTGGTAGTAGACATGCTCGTGGCGTCAACGAGGCCCGATCAGAAATGCAATAGTATCAGCGTCCTGACGAATGAGTTAACTCAATGGCTAGTAAAGATCGACTTGCACGTATGCAATGCAATGTGGGGATGCGGAGGTCACGAAACTGTCAGCGAGCGTTTTACGCCCAAAAAATAACGTGAACCTAAAACCGAAGGACTCTGTATGTAGAGAGGATGCGATGCGTATCACCGTTGCAGGCACTCGCATTTGCATTTGCTTCGTATGCTCGGTAGCTACGAACCCATTCGCCAATCAGAAATGCCATACAGTATGCCAGCAATGCAGCACTTAGCATATCACGTGGAAAGCATGTGCGGTCACGCCCCTAGGTGTATATGCGTGATATCGTAAGCATGTAATGACCGTGTGCCTGCAAGAGGTGCAGCGTCCCACCTCCATTCCAGCTCGTCCAAAAGCGTGCACACATTGCAGCTTGATTCTGGCATTTGAGCGATGGAGGACACGGCTGCAGCACACGAGCCACCTACCAAGATAGACGTGGTAGAACGCATGAGCGTGCCATCGCAAGAGCCCATGCACCGCCCGAACCTCGAAGAGGTGCCGAATGAGCCCCAGGTACAACTCACTGAGCCTGTCGAACAAGAGCATACCAGAACAGTCATGCCAGATTCGCATGCTCCTCAAGGCGAGGAAGGATCATATCGTGAACAAGACGGTGAAGCACTGCCACTTGCGGACTCTGGGCGCATGGTCCCTTATGCGCCCAAGGACGTGGACAGAGGCACGGTGGACGCAGCCGAACAAGCTCAGGCTCAAGGTGCCATAGCACAGGAGCGAGCACATCAACTTGAAATGGATCGCTTGCTCTGGATTTCTTTGCCTAAAAATGACCAATTGGATTACCATATCGAACATGATATCTTAGACGAATGGCCGGAGCTCAATGAGCCTGGGCCCTCGGGTTTCAGCAACCGCGGTCAAAAGTTGCATGCGCATAATGGTGTGCGTTGGGTGCATCGCGGAAAGCTTGGGACATGGACTGAAAGGCGCAGTGACCATGAATTGCGCGAACGTGAGGAGCGTCGGATCGACGCATTTCAGCATGCAAGTGTGGATGCTATGCTAGAGGCGGAGGCAACCGGACCAGGAGGCATGGGTGGTATTTGGCGAACGCAAGTCTTACCAAAGCGACGTGGACGACACAGTAATCATTATGCGACGAAACGCGCCAAAACACAGCTTTGGGATCCTCAAGCCAAATACGACCTCGTGGAAGATGCATGGGAGGAAGATGACAAGAATGCACGACATGCATCCACCCTTGCTTTTTCGCTATTAGTGCCTGTTCTCACGGCCAGGGGTCTCTTGGAGAGCAAACTGTTGAAGCAAAGCTTCCGCAACCCGCACCTGACGTCTCTCAACCGAGCGGCTTTGAATTTGATTGAGAATGAAAATGTCATGTATCGCGCTCTAGGGCGATGCTTCGACACTATGGAGCATTTAACCGGAAAAGAAGGACCCGTGCCGGCGAAGCACGACCAACACCATACAGATGTTACGGAGCCTATGGATTACGTCCCGCCCTTGGATCATATTAATGACTTATTTATAACGAACGAGGGTTTTACTATCCCTGTTTCGTCTTCAGAACACGAAAATGAAACGAATTCAACGTACACACTTTCTGCAGATGAACAGCGAGAGATTGTGTACTCGAGCTTACAGTGCCTGAATGATTTGCATGCTGACAGCCGCGAGTACATGGAACGACTAGGCGAAGTCCGTATGATGTTGGCAGAGGTGCGACGCGACAGGAATCATATGTGGGGAATTATACGAAAATGGGCCTTGGAGCGCGAGAGCTTAGATTATCAGGCAAGTTTACGTCAAAGAAGGCATCGAGCTGGAACGGATGATGCGGTTGATGCATCATCTTCTCATGATGCCGCCCATGAAAAAGAACACCTCATGAACAACAGTACACCTCAAACCGAGTCGAGGCGAACTGAGTGGTCTACGACGAATCGAAATCGGGGTAAACGACGCTCTGGTCGATAGCGCACATAGTATGCCACTTTGTACACTTCCCTCCTGTGCTGGTAGTGAGATAAAGTGTAAAATTATGCCTGGCGTCGAGTGGAGGCAAAAAGCTTCCGCGCCGGGAATTGAACCCGGGTCTGGGCCGCGCCGTTCTAATGACAAGGCCCCGTCATAACCACTAAACTACGCAGAACTAGACGTTGACCCCATGGAGAGTAGGTATACTTGTATGGCAGGTGAACAGAAACACGCCAAAAATTGACACTTCCGCGCCGGGAATTGAACCCGGGTCTGGGCCGCGCCGTTCTAATGACAAGGCCCCGTCATAGCCACTAAACCACGCAGAATTAGTAATCAACGCCAATGAAGTTGTTGTATAAGTACCCCAAAGTTTTTATGTGTCTCATGCTAGGCTGTCGACCGTCGCGCCATTTCCAGGCGATTTTGGGACAACAAAAAGGAAATGTGAGGGCCGCCTGGGGCTCGAACCCAGGACCTCATCTTAATCACCTTGGGCATGCCCTGTAGGAGAGACGCATTCTACCAACTGAACTAACGGCCCAATCACCTGCGCAGGAGTCGTATAAGGCCTAAAAGAAAAAAAAAGGTTATCGTCTACTACATTTTCTTGCATCGCCCGTGCGCTGTGCGACCTTAATCCAACGCGACACGCGTGGCTACCAGTATGGAGCAAAAAACACGACATACGTATGCCCTTCCCTCATCTAGAAGAGTGAGACTTTCTACACCAGAATCCTCATCTGGAGAAGCAAAGACAACACCGCCGTCGCCACGAGGACGTGGCATTCTGCTTCCACCAGCCCAGTACGGACGTGCTGCAAGTCCTACACCGCTCAGCCAGTCTCTGCCCAACGACTTGTCATTAGATACACGTAACTATACCCCAAAAGAGTGGGCCCTTATCGGTATTGATCGTAAAGATTCATCTTCAAAATTTGCCGTGGTGTTGTTGCATTGGCCTTCCATGACACTGTACACTTGGCCCTTGGACCCAAAGTCTCCCGAAAAGCAGAGTAACTGCTTCATCACACCTTTGGGTCAGATTGAAAAAAGGCAGCATGATACCAAACTGGTGCATCAAAGCTTGTCCGTGCTGGAGCATGCGGTGCGAGCATGGATGCGGTATGTTCGAACCAAGTCGGCATCCCAGACGGGCAGTGTGTCAGTCACACACGCCGATATCGTACAAATTTGCCAAATCCTAGGGTTGGTACCGGCTACGCAGGAGCAGCGCCTCCAGTATTTGCAGGTACAGCAACTCCCGCTATTGCCGCGTTCGAGACCATCGTCTCGGAACAGTTCGCCTCTGAGGAGCCCCTCTTTCGGCGTCGCTTCTGTCACAGACAAGGCGCCACACAACACCCCATAGGCATGTGCAGAGAGCGCTTTTGTATTGAATGCTTCTCGTTCTTATTGCAGCTATCTACGAAGAAAAGAAATGGTCCTATTCATAACAATATTTTTGGGGGATGTTCCTTGTCTGACTCTATCCCATCACCTAATATGCATACAAGTGGCATTAGAGCGTACGGCAAAAGTGGCATGCGTCGGCCTTGTCTTCGTCGCTCATGACCGCCTGGACGATCGCAGGGACCAAAATTAGAGCAAGGAACACGATCCAGGCGAACAGGAACACAATCGAGTACCGCATCACAATCGAGCGGCGCTGTGCACGTTGACGAAGCGAGTAAATGGGGGCGTGGATCTGTTTGGACGGGCGGAGCCAAAACAGCGCAGTCGAGTGGATCCTGTCAATGAATGGCACAGCCAGGGGGATAGAAAGAGCAAACATAAGCAGGTGTGCATTGATGAAATCGGCGGAGAACTGACTCATTTCGATGATCTTTACAATGTATTCGCGCAGGGGCTGACTGAAGGCGCTGCCACCAAGGCCACGACCGTACCAGCGACCAGTCCACCACGCGCGGTTCGTCTCGTCGTGCTTGAATTCACGCGAAATGACAATGCCGGTGAGGAACTTGAAAATGGCACGCTGGATAGCAATCATGGCAATGATACCAAGCACCGTGTTGGCCGAGTTCCAGTATTCAATGTACCAGAAGAATTCGAGTACGGCAAACAGACCAAGGATGGCAAGGCCATGAGCCAGGCTGGCCATGACACTGCCAAACTTTGCGCAGCACGATTGCAGCGCAGGGCCAAAGAAAAGTGCCACAAAGAAGAGCACCAGCAAAACCACGGCATTCCATGCAATCGGCACCAACACGATAATGGCCAGTCGCGCGATACCGCCCTGGAACTGGCCGTCCTCAAAACTGAGACCCGGTGCCGGGAAGCTTTTGACGTATGCGTACGTGACGGCAAAGATGACCGCCACCATCGTGGGCATCAGCACTTCGTGGATCAGGATCGTCTTCCAGCTGGCACGCGGCAAGTCAGCCACGAGCTTTTCACTCGGGTGACCCAAACGCTTGCGCTTGTAACCTGTGATGCGCGTGCGACTAAGGCGGCAGTAACCGATCCACGAATTGGCGTGGCTGCGACTGTTGCCACGGCCCATCCAGCGCAAGAACTCGCGGTAGTCGATAATGAAATCAGAGAACGAAAACTGGTGGGGATTGAACAGAAATGGAGCCACACACAGCGCCACGAGACTGACCCAGAAGTAGATGAGATGCGGCATCCACACAGTGAGCGTAGCGTAGAACAGCATCAGCAGGTACTGCAAGCCCGAGTAGATCGATGGACCAGCGAATCGCGAGTACAGTAGCGCGAAGCTCAGGCGTGTTGTAGCGAAGCCACGGCCCGTCGCGATGTAACGCGCACCACCAAACGTCAGGTTCGTGATGAGAGAGTGCGAGTAAATCTGTGTCGTAAAGATTTCGAAGAGTGGACTCATCGACACGAACTGCTTCAGCAGACGCACCAGCGCAAAGACGGCACCACGCTCCGACAGCTCCTGGAGGAATAGCGGCAAAAAGGCAATCATAAACACGAGCAGGATACTAATGACTGTCCGCTGCACCCAGTACACAATCGGGTTCAAGTAGTAACACTCGCCCTGACCCAGCACAAAGGGAATGCCTTGCGTGTCAGGGCACACCTCCAGCGTCGAATACAGCGAGCCAATGAACATAAGTGCAAACATAAACAGATGCACCGCCAAAATGACCATGATATTGTTGATGTGGAAACCAGGGTGACCATAGTAGAACGTCAGGAAACGATCCACGGGCAGCTGCGTACCAAAGTAGTAGTATTCACGCGACAGAATTTGCTCGCCCATACCGTTACCCAGCTTGGTAATAAAGTTGAGAATGGTACCAAAACCAAGGTCACGACCCTTACCACACTGGTAGTACTCTGAGTGCTTGATACGACCGCCACGCTGGAACACCATCATACCCGCATAGATATCCTCGTTTAGATGCAGACCCTTTTGCGCCTTGGACACGCCACCACGCGTTGTCATGTACACCGAGTTCAAAAAGTCGGGGTGACCGTAGTGGAACTTACCACCGAGCTGGGCCATACCACGTGCAGCCATAGTACCGAATGTTTGCTCCTTACCAGCTGCCACATCACCAAGAATACCAATGTTTTCCGAAAAAATGTACTCCTTCGAACCCACAATAGCCACAGGCGCCTTGCTAAAGACGTTGTAAGCCGGGCCGTAGGGATTCTCGGCTGGCATGTCGATCGTCTCAAATTCGGCAAGGACGTTGCGGATCTTGAGACATTCCTCAAGATAGTTGTCTTGGTTGGCATCAATCAGCTGCAGGAATTCACCGCGATGGAAGATAACGGCATGGTTCTGGTTGTCCGACTTGCCGTCACCCAGAATCGGGTTGCCAGGCAGCTCGATACGGAACTTGGGACGACGACGACCGGTGGGGAGCATCTCGCAGTAGCCATCGACCAACGCCGAGTACCATCGAGACTCGCCGCCCTCCTTGGGCGATGGCTCTTCATCCAAGTATGCGATCAGCAGATCGGGGTACGCGCGCAGCAAGAATTCAGTGTTCTCGATCTCTTCTTTGTTGAAACGCGAGTAGCGCTGCATCGAAATCACGAATTTAAACTTGCGGTGGCTCATGCGTTCCAATTCTTGCTCGAGGCGCTCCGTGTTGCCACCAAACAACTGTACAATTTCGGGGTTCTCGACACGGTACAGCAGCTTTATGGCCTTGTTGTAGTTCATAAAGCCACTCACCGTTCGATACAGCGTCTGTGCACGCAACGACGACCAAATTCGCGTACGCAGCGTGTACTCTGGCGCAGCCGACTTGAAACCAATGCAATAGAACGGCAGGTCATCAGTCTTGCCACCCTTGAGATTCGACTTTTCGTCCTCGAAGCCAAACGGAGCATCGCCTGCAAAGTTGCCCGACTCTTCAGCCAGAATCTTGGTGTCCTTGACAAAGTTGTCCCATTCGACAGGGTGCAGTTGCTTCAAGTACTCGAGCAGCGTAACACGCGTATTCTGGTCCTCTTCACGGATAATCTCACGCAGCGACAGTAGAATTTTTTCACCGTAATGCGGCGTAAGCACTGAGAACGTTGGCATCGCATCGACAGGCAACGGCTCTGGGATCGAGGTCATGAGGGACTGTGCGAAGAAGCTAATACGCCGCTCGGCCTCTGAGCCCTTCGGGAAGAACTCAGGCCTGGGGCCAGAGTCAAGCTGGTTCAGGAAGAACGGCGGAGCACGCAACGTGCGCTTGTGAGGCGAGTTGTCTGCCGGCACCTGGTGATACAGCAGACGCTGAACGTGGTCGATCGACAGCAGATGCTCACGGTACATGGAAATGATGATGGCGTTCCATACCTGCGACACAAGCACCTTGGGCTTGTACTTGACTTCCATATCGGCCGTGGCGAGGATCTTGGAGTAGATTCGCTTTGGCAGACGCTGATAAATGTCAGACCAAGGCGTCCACACGGACAGACCCAGATAGAACGCCCAGCCCAGACTGAAGACGGTGCTCCAAACAACGTACCATAAGAAAGTATCGAGGAAGAACAGGCACAGATCCATCAACATCATGGCTGACAGAGCAAACGTCGGCTGCAGTGAGCAGAGATGCGTGCCAAAGTAGCGGTCATGGCATTCTTGCACACGCATCGTGACAAGCACACCGAACGGGTCCTTGAAAGACAGGGCCAGGAAGTAGTAACTTTCGGTGAGCTTGCAGCCGAATACAAGGAACCATAACAGAATGGAAAAGAAGCGACGTGACAAAGGGAGGGGTGCGTACGACGCAGTAAACGTCTGGTTAGCCATATACTTGCGTCGGCGCCACGCGACACGGTCGCCAAACAGGTAGCCTGATGGCACAATCGAGAAGAATGCAGTGAGGACCGAGGCGACAGCCATCTGTACGACAGAAATCACGTAGCCCACATGACCGTCCTTGTTGAATCCGAAAACATAGACAGCCGGGGCAATCATGAGCGCCATACAGATACCGAGGAAAACCAGGCGGCCAAACAGATGGTTCGTATTGTTCCAGGTGGTGGGAATATACATCACTTCAACAAGCGTGCCGCAGATCATAAAGAACGTCGACACGGCGCCTC